CCTCCCCTCCCCTCCCCTCCCCTCCGTCCCTCCTCCCGTCCCGTCCCATCCCGTCCCTCCCTCCCTCCCTCTTCTTCCTCCTCCCATCGGTGGCGTGCGCGGTCGATGGCGCGTCAGGAGCTCGTTGAACGGAAGCTGGCAACCACCTCCGCCGCCGCTCACAGAGGGCGGCTCCCCCTGGGGTGGCCGGCTGTCTGAGACAGCGGCCATCCCCCCAGGGGGGAGGGGTCTGCCGGCCAGGACTGAAGACTAGGCATGCCCGAGTGCACCGCGGAGACGAGGACGACATCGTAGCCGGCCGTGAGTAGCCCCGAGTGCCCGCCAGCCAGGGGCCGCCGTCGGCTCGCAGCGCCGGGCCGTCCAGCCTGCCAGTCCGCTTCCAGCCCCAGCGCCCCCGCCCAGGTCGGTGCCACCTTCTCATCGCACTGCCTCAGGCCCTGCGCCGCCCGAAGCCCAGGCCCAGCAAATTTCGCGGCTCAGCACAGCCTGGCGGGGCGCTGGAGCTGGCGCGCCACGTTGTGCTGCAGCGCGCAGCTGGGCGCCTTGCAGGCGCGCGCTGGCTCCCTGGGGCTGCGTGTCCTCGGGGAGCTCGCGCTCTGGCGCAAGCAGCCGCTGCCGCGCCTCTGCGCCCAGGCGGTAGGCGGAGTGCGGCGCCCAGCGGGGCCCCTCGGCGTCCCGGCGTGCCAGTTCTGCGCGCGCCTCGTCGAGCTTCGCGTGCGCCTGCTGGAGCGCCTCAAGAGCGTCTGCAAAAGACGCGGCATCGAGGCCGCGCAGCACCTCGCCAACCGCCTCCGTCCGCCGCCCGCTGGGCCCCCGCGCCGCCCAGCCTCGCCAGCAAGCCAAGCAGGTCGCCTCCTCCCTCCCTTCCTCTCCTCCTCTTCCTCTTCCTCCTCCTCCTCCTCCTCCTCATTTTGTTGTTGGTCAAACATTAGCTTGAGGCTGTTGCGTTTCTCAGTTACTCGAACTCTCATAGGGGCGTGCACAAGAAATCCCAATAGACGAGTGCTCCTACTCCTCCTTCCTCCTCCTCCCTCCCTCCCTCCCTCCCTCCCCTCCCCTCCCCTCTCCACCCTCCCCTCCCTCCCCTCCCTCCCCCTCCCTCCCCTCCCCTCCCCTCCCCTCCCCATCCCCTCCCCTCCCCTCCCTCCCTCCCCCCTTTGCTTCGAGCCCTCCTGGTAGCAGGAGGTGGGAGGCCGCTCCCTCCGCGTCCCTGAGAGGGGCACCTGCCAGACGCGGTCCGGGACGCGGTCATGAAAAAGTGTCGCATGAAGTCGGAGAACAGGTCGGCGCAGTCCTCCCCCCGTGTCGTCGTCGTTGTCGCCGCCGCCGCCGTTGTCGTCGTCGTCGTCGTCGTCGTCGTCGTCGCCGCCGCCGTCGTCGTCGTCGTCGTCGTCGTCGTCGTCGTCGTCGTCGTCGTCGTCGTCGTCATCATGGTCGTGGTCGTGGTCGTCCGTCGTCGTCGTCGTCGTCGTCGTCGTCGTCGTCGTCGTCGTCGTCGTCGTCCTTCGTCGTCGTCGTCGTCGTCGTCGTCCTTCGTCGTCGTCGTCTTCGTCGTCGTCGTGGGTGTTGCCGTCGCCATATTCGTCGTCATCGAGTTGCGATTCAGGCTTGACCGACGCTTTTGGAGCGATCATGGAGAACTCCAGAGCATCGGTCCGCGACATGGTACATTCTCCACCCTCGCAGTGACATGGTACCCTCTCATGAAATTTGGGATGTGCGACACCTTGTTTATTCGTTTCGTACTTGATTGAAGGCCGATTGCCGCATTCAATGGGCGCCCCTCTGTAACCAACATCCCTTATGGTTTTCAGATGCACTGAGTCGGCGATCAGGACGGTGTGCTTCCAGGAAGTCTCTCAGTTTTTCCGGTTCTAGAAAGGATCTAAGCGTTCCTTCTTTCTACTTGGGAGCCCTGGATGGCGGGCTTTTGTGAATCAGGATTCTTGGAACGTCCTACAGAAAGCACTTTCATCCTCAACCGTCGTCGTACTTCGCACACCACAGATGCCCAGGAGGAGGAGGAGGACGTGGAGGAGGGAGGAAGGAGGACAGGAGAGGCGAGAGTGACAGACAAAGGCGCCAACAACGTGTGGCTCTTTCCTTCCTCCAAGCGGGGAGCGGAGGAGAGAATGACAGGCAAAAACAAGTCGTGGCGGATGCTGCGGATTGACCTGCAGCCTCTACGCCGACTGGATTGTTTGATGCGAACAATCACCCTCTGCAGCAGTGGATGCGCCGGAAGGGGGAGGGGAAGAGAGGGAGGAGGGGCGACAGAGGAGGAGGAGGGAGCCAAGCTCGTGAGTGCGTAAGCCAGCTGAGGCTTCGCCCAGGGCGCGCGCACATGGATCCCACACGAGCGTGGGGATGGGAAGCACAAAGAATGCAGGGCGAGGCAACAGTAACTACAATGGAATTCAATGTTGCACGATGGAGCCATGGCGTCCACCGCAAAGTCGGTCCGAGACCTACCGCGTAGGGGCGGACCAGGCTGAGGGTGCATGCCGTTCGGGCAGGCAGTCAAGCAAAAAACAAAGAGTGGAGAGAGGCCAACAGGGAGGCGAAGAGCGCCGACTGCCTATGAACTGCACGCCTGCCCCAGACCTACCAGGAACAACAAACTCGCCTAACAAGTAAAAGGGTCTGTGCCTGAAACGGGGAGGGGTGGACAAGCAGGCGAGAGCCAGAGGAAAAAAGGAGGGCGCTGAGGCGATGGCACAAAAGACCCCTGGAAAGCCCTCAGGACGCACCAAACCCCTCGTACACGCTGCTCATCGTGGTGTTGCTGGTGACCCTTGTCTGCGGGATGCCAGCCCATCCTCCGATTTTCATGTCTGGTGGTCGCGCTGAATCGGCATGTCCGCGATTTTCGGCATGCCAGCCCATCCGTTATGGCACGGCGGAGTGGGGTGCATCAAACCCTTCTCCGTGCTACTCATCGTCGGTCTGCTGGTGCAGCCCTGCGCGGCGTCGGTCTTCTGCTGATGCGCTCCTTCGTGGCGCTGGGCATGCGGTCCGCTCCCTTCTTCTCCTTGAAAGAAGAAAGCATTCCCATCCTGTACGGTGTGCGGCTCCGTCATCTTACCTCTTCTCTCCTATCTCCTCCTTCCTCCTCCATGAGCTCTGGCTCGAGCTCCTTGCCCTCCCAGGGGGGGATCCCCCTCTTTCCAATCTGCCCATGGGCATGCGCACTGTGCTTTGAGCTGGTGGCTCCTCTTCACCACCTTGTTCATCGCCTCCTTCCTCACCACCTCGTTCGGCTCCTCCTCCTCCTCCTCCTCCTCCTCCTCCTCCTCCTCGTCTGCCTCCTTCTTCTCCTCCTTCTCCTCCTCCTCCTCCTCCTCCTCCTCCTCCTCCTTATGAATACTACTCTCCCTCTTCCCCTGATGACGTCTTGGGAATATTCGCCCCCCCCCGCGTACTGTTTTTTACACACAGGTTTCCCCGGAGTTGGGTTTTCGCTTGCTTTTTTTCCAAAATGCTGTTCTCGCTGAGGCGCCGGCCTCATTTTCGGGCCCCGCTCGTTCCGAATCGTGCTCCTGCTGCAGCGCTGGCATCATTTCCGCCGGCGCCCGGGCTGCACGCCCGAGCCGGCGCCTGGGTCGGCGCTCGGGCCGGGTCCGCAGCCGGTTTTCCGGCCGGCGCCGGAAAACCGAGTTCCGAGGCGGCGCCGAAAAAAGGCCATTTTCTTGTGAAAATGCTGAATTTCTGCTTCCGGCGCCCGGGAGGCCTCCCGGGCCGATTCCGACGCCCAGGCCGGCGCCCGAGCCAGCGCCCGGGCTGGACGCCCGAGCCGGCGCCCGGGCCGGCGCCCGGGCAGGGTTCGGAGCCGGTTCCGGCCGGCGCCGGAAAGTCGAGTTCCGAGGCGGCGCCGAAAAAAGGCCATTCCAATACAATTTTTTCTTTTGAAAATGTTGAATTTCTGCCTTTCCCGGAGTTAGGCTTTCGCCTGCAATTTTTCCCAAAATGCTGCTCTCGCTGAGGCGCCGGCCTCATTTTCGGGCCCCGCTCGTTCCGAATCGTGCTCTCGCTACAGCGCTGGCCTCATTTCTGTGCTTCCGCTCGTTCCGAATCGTGCTCCCGCTGCAGCGCTGGCGTCATTTCCGCGCTTCCGCTCGTTTCGACTCGTGCTCCCGCTGCAGCGCTGGCGTCATTTCCCGTGCCATGCCACGGCATACAATGCAATGCAATGCAATGCTAGGTTGATACTACGCTTCGCGGTGCTCTTCTACGCCATGCCATGCCGTGCTCTACAATGCATCGCGTACCCTTTCGGGATCATCGCCCTGCTTGACATCCGACCGTGCGAGTAGACAGGGGATCTGCGCCATGGTAAGGGATGGGAGGGAGGGGTAGGATGTCAGATATGACGCGAGCGCACCCAGCTTGTTCCTCCCCCTTCCCCCTCCTCCTCCTCCTCCTCCTCCTCCTCCTCCTCCTCCTCCTCCTCCTCCTCCTCCTCCTCCTCCTCATCCTCCTCCTCCTCCTCCCCCCTCCTCCGCCTCCACCTCCCCTCCTCTTTCTCTCCTCCTCCTCCTCCACCTCCTCCTCCTCCTCCTCCTCCTCCTCCTCCTCCTCCTCCTCCTCCAGCGCCAGCAGAAGCTCGAGTCCGACGTCAGTGCGCAGGTCAAGGTCGTTGAGGCCGCTGAGGAGCACCTCCGTGAGCTCAGGGCCAAGGTGCTGGCCGCCAAGGACCTGGTGGCTACCCTCCAGGAGGAGCTGCGCGAGTCTTGCCCTAAGGACCTGCGTCCTGAAGGGAGTGATGCTACCTCCTTCGTGCTGCCTGACCTCCCGACCACCGTGCTGGAGGCCGACGCCGACCTCAAGGCCATGGTGGAGTCGCCTGTCTTTGACAAGTTCAAGGAGGCTGTGCGTGCTGCTGCTGCCGCCCAGGCAGCCTCCGCTGGCCCAACCGTCGTGGACGAGGGCACCGACTGTGGTGAATCGGTGCCCGTCCCTGAGGATGATGATGAGTGCATTGACGTCGACGAGGAAGGCATCTCCCAGGTCATCTCCACTACCAAGTTTGCTGGTGACAAACGGGAGCTCCAGGAGTTGTTCAAGTCCCTCGGCCTCGTCACCAAGAAGCCGCGGCGGGGGTGATACTCACCATGGTGCAGTACACCCGAGGGTCTGTGGCCTGCCGTTGTCGTGTATGAGGCTACCACTACCCCCGATTTGTAGGAAGAAGTTGCCGCCGACATCCACGGCGACACAGTTCATCGAGACGTTCAATGGCTCTGGGTGGTCCACGCTACGCGAGCGGCTCACCACGACTACCAGCGTCATCGTGTGCGCCCAGGAGCTTGGCCTGTCCGAGCTCACAGCGCCCCAGTCCCTGGCCGCTGTGCGCGCCCTGGGCTGGCGTTTCCTCATCAGTGAGTCGTCCTTCAACCCGAAGACGCAGAGGTGCTCGGCTGGTGTTGGAGTGTTTGTTCGTGACGGGTTTGGCTTGCGATGGACCGACCCGACGTGCAAGGCTATTGTGCCACATCGGGCCATACAGGTAACCATTGACCTGCCTGGCTTCTCGTTCAACATCGTGTGTGTCTATTTCCACGTCAATGACGGCATGCGTGAGAAGAATTTGTCCATGCTCAGCGCGATCGGCGCCAAGATCATTCAGCCTCCGCTCACGGTCATTGCGGCAGATTGGAACAACTCACCTGCCGCCGTCGAGGCCACGGGGTTTGTGCAGAAGGTCAAGGCCGTCATCATGGCGCCCGCTGCGATCACCTGCCGTACCAGTTCGTCTACGTCCACGATCGACTTCTTCGTTGTAGGGCATGCTCTGTCTACCCTGTCTGCCAGCATTTCTGTGGACAGTGCGTGGCATGTTAGACCGCACCGCCCTGTTTTGCTTGAACTGCGTGCGAATGCACTCCAGGTCCGTCAGTTGGTCTTTCGGCGTCACAGTCGAATCCCCACCCACCTCCCGATCGGCTGTCCTCGTCCCCCTCCCTCGTGGGCGTTGTCAGAGCGACTCCTGCCCAAGCTGCAGTTTTTGTCTGAGCATGGCTCCTCTCAGGAGGCCTGGGCTCTCATGAATGAAGTGTGGTCTCTCTTTGCCAATGCTGCCGAGCAGGAGCTACTCGACGTTTGCGATCTTCCCACCACCCGCGCGGGGTGGCGAGGAGCTCGCGTGCAGTCAGTCTGGGAGCCGATCGTCCATCGCCGACAGGAGCCCGATGATGGCACGCTGGTGGCTAACTGTTGGCAATGGATGTGCGGCATGCTCAGTGAGTGTTTGTCTCTCACGCGTCGTGATGATGTCGATTGGGT